GGATGTGAGGATGGTGCGTCCCATACATGAAGGATGTGAGGATGGTGTGACCCATACATGAAGGATGTGAGGATGGTGTGACCCATACATGAAGGATATGTGGAAGCCCTATTTGTCTGAAATATCACTGTGCACATGTGGGCCCTCAGCATCAACTTGGGGCTTGCTGGGGATACAGATTCTTGACCCCTGTCCAGACCCAAGAGATCAGGAACAGACTTGTAGGAAGTCAAAGCATTTCTCACGTGGGAGAACACAGTGTAGCCATCAGCAGGAGAGAGCCAAAGTTGAGTGCTACGGGTTTGAGGAGTGGAGCTCTGAGAGACTTGGGCATTTGTCCAGAATTGTCTCTGAGAAGGCAGATAACCTTGTCCAAGTCAGTGGACATCTGTATCCTGTCTTGCTCTTTCCAGTACCCCAGTTGTCCATCTGGCTTACTGCAGCTCGATAGCTCTGTAACCTTCATCTCTTACCCACTTAACGGTGTCTGGGTTCTTACTTGTGTTTTAAATGGACTCATGGCTTATGCTTATATGTGGTGTGTGTGTGTGTGTGTGTGTGTGTATGTGGTGTATGGTGCATGTATGTACATTCATGGATATTGCCTGTGCACATACATTCGGAAGCCAAAACATGGTTTCAGGTTTCTTCCTCAATCTTTCCCTGTCTTACTGTCTTGAGATAGGGTCTCTCAGAGAACTGGAAGGTCCCCATTTTGGCTTGGCTTGTTGGTCAGTGAACTCTTAGTATCTGACTGTCTCTACACATACCTCCAATGCTGGAGTTACAGGCACGTGGTAGCTAGCCATGTTTGGCTTTTTCACATAGGTGCTGGGGATTTGAACTCAGGTCCGCATGCATGCATAGCAAGCACTATCATTACTGAGCCATCTCCCTTACCCTAGACTTAATGCTCGTACTTTATTTAAATTAGAGGAAACATTTAAAGTTGGTAAATGGAAAATTTCCTTCTGTCAGAAATAGAAGATAGCCAATAAAAACAAACAGTGACAGCATCTTTTTTAAAAAGACATTGATCAAGTGTCAAAGATACCCTGAAGATACCTAACCCCTGAACTAAAATGCTTTACTGTGTTCATCATCAGAGACATGAAAGGGTTGCCAGTCAGGAGTGTAGCTCAGTGGTAGTCATTGCCTGTCTTGCATAGAGCCGTAAATTCAATTCCAAATACAAAGAAAGAAGAGAGGGAGAGAGAAAATTATCACAGGATGTGTGACAATGTCATTAAATGTCATGTTGATGCCACTCATGATAACCCTGAACAACGCCTGAGATTTTTTTCCCTGATACTTAGGGGCTGATGCTCCACCCCGGGTATCCAGGTTTCCTTCCACTACTAAAGGAAGCAAAAGAAGATGGAGGTCTTGAACACGGAGTAGGCTGCGACACTGAATTTTCACAGCTGAGGAGAGCTTTCCAGGGTAAAATCACAGTCATCAGAGCACTGGGGAGCACTCGGGCTTACCGGGCCATGGAAGTCTTGGTTTCCCTTTGACTTTCCTTCCTTGGTGGGCTTCCCTTTCTCTTGTAGGTTAGGTGACTTCTGAAAAGAATTAAATCTTCAATTTACTGATTTGAATAGCTTTCAAATTATGATGGCTGTTTAAGTTCACTTTTTTGGTTTCGCTTTTATGGTTGGTGGTTTTTGTGCCCCTCCCCCGCCAACCCACCCTCAAGATCTTGCCGTGTAGCCTAGATTGGCCTGGAACTCCCCACCCCCTTCCTCAGCTTCCTGAGTACAGAGGTTGCAGGCATGACCACCATGCCCCACTTTAAAAGTTAACTCTTAAATGTGAGGTTTTGTTCGTGATTCTGTCTACTGATGCATCTATTGGCGTTGGTGGCCAAGGGCTGCATTCTACCTGCAGTGTAGCCCAACAGGACAGAAATGAACAACCATCAGCTTTCTAGAATGTGTCAATGCTTGTCTAGCGGCAGGCACCTCAGAAGGAGCTGGGACGGTCAATTGCTGGGCCTCTGCAGTCTGAACTCAGGTGTCTCCTTGTGGGGTCCAAAGGCAGTCAGGCAGAGAAATGCTTCTTGGGGTGCCTGGAGCTGCAGGCTTGTCAGTCTAGCACCGAGAAAAATGCATGTTCTCTTCTGACTCTGAGAAACACATCTATAACGACTCGAGCTGGAAACGTGGAGAAATCTGGCGGCCAGCAGGACAGGCCTGCGACTCCAGCATCTTGGGAGGTGTGTGCTGGCTAGTTTGATGTCAGCTTGACATTGTCAGCCCTGCCCACTGTTTGTTGGTGCTTCTCCTGTTGGTACTAAGTTCTATAAGAAAGCAGGCTGAGCAAGCCACACAGTGCAAGTCAGCACGTAGCACTCTTCCACAGCCTCTGCATCAGCTCCTGCCTCCAGGGTCCTTCCCTGCTTGAGTTCCTGTCCTGACTTCCTTCTGTGATGGACCATGATGTGGAAGTGTAAGCCAAATAAACCCTTTCCTCCACAATTTGCTTTTGGTCACTGTGCTTCGTCATAGCAACAGAAACCCTAACTAGGACAGGAGGCTAAGGCAGGCAGAACCCAAGTTCAAAGCTTGCCTGGGCAACTTAGGGAGAGCCTGTCTCCTAAGAGTAAAAAGAGAGTGGTGCCAGTCATGGTGGCACATGCATCTAAACCCAGGCTTCAGGAGGCAGGTGGGGGGAGGGGTGGGGGGAGGGGGAAGAGGAAGAGGAGGAGGAGGAGGAGGAAGAGGAGGAGGGGGGGAAGGGGAGGGGAGTCAGACGCATGAGAGACAGAGGAGGCAGAGGCAGAAACAGGTATCCCTGTGAGTTCCAGGCCACCCTAGTATACATGGTGAGTTCCTGTCTCCAAAACAAACAAACAAAGCCCAAACAACAACAAGAAAATATGGAGAGAGGCAGAGACAGACACTGCAAACCGCACACCACACATTGTACACACACACACATACTCAAAATGAGCCAGGAGATAGTTCAATGAGTAAAGTGCTTTGCAAGGTTGAGGACCTGGGCTCAACCACTGGAACCTAAGGAAAAAGGTTGGGTGTGGTGGCACAAGCCTGTCTCTCCAGAGCTGGGATGCAGAGGAAGACAGATCCCTAGGTGCTGCCGTCCACCCAGCCTAACCTACTAGGCCACTTCCAGGCCAGTGAGCGACACTGAGGAACAATAACACCCAGGGTTGTCCTCTGGCTTCCACACGCATGTGCAAGTACGCATTTCTACATGCACACGATGCCAGTGTCTCCCTCCGTGATGACCGTTTCAGGTAACAGATGAAGTCCCTCCCCTGTATACCGTTTGTCACCCTCACTTACCTGCCCACAGACATTCACTCTGCTTTTCTTTGCTAGTTCAAAGGAGCGTTCGGTTGCCGGTTGTTGTCTGTTGAAGGGGCTGCGCTCCTGGTACGACTCAGTTTCTCTCTGAGGAGGCTGGATGCATCTTTCACACTTCAAGTCTGTCTCTCCCTTCTCACAGTTCTGCTTGAACAGGAGCTTCCCATTGGCAATGACAATGGAGGTAAACCTCTTGACGTCTTCTGGAACTACTCGTGCGACCGAGACGAACCTCTCCAGGTCATCCACGCTGTTTTGGACTTTGTCCATCACGAGAACTTCCAGGGACCAATTGCAGCGGTCCAGGCTTCCCTTGGCATCCAGCAGTGTCTGGTAGGAGCTAGAGATTGTCTGGAGCTGATCTTTAATCCTAGCCTGAAGGTAGCTATCTGTAAGATTGCAGGCGGTCCCACCAACCCTTTGGGCAAAATCCAGAAACTCTCTTACAGATTCCTCTACATGGTCAACGGCCCTGTGGATTCTGTTGATATTGGTTTCCAAGGAGTCTTTGAACCTCCAAGTCCTGCTTACAAAGAGGAGCAGGCTTGCCGCTGAGCTGGCCACTTTGTGTTGCAGAGACACTGCTGTCTCTTTTGCAAAGTCCAGGTCCGTCCATAGCTCCTTCATGGAGTCCTCTGAGGAAGAGCCAGGGGAGGAGTCCATGGATATGGAAGAACATGAAGATACTATGCTAGCCCTGCTGTCTGAGCTAGCAACAGATAATCGGTCTGAGTCAGGAGACAGGAAACTTGTCTGTCTGGAGATGCAGGGGGAATTCTCTGGAGTCTCTCTGCCTTTCTCCAGCTCCTTTCCAGCCAGAGGCAAACCCTGCAAGGCTTTAGGGGTGTCGTAAATGTTTGGCTTGGTGTTTTGTTGTTCCACTCTGGGAATGAGAAACCTGGAAGGAACCTTGTAGCTGCTACCTGCATCAGAAGGAAGCGGGTCCCTGGGCATCGGGATGGCATAGGAAGGTTCTTCTGGGAGGATGCTTTTCTTCTGCATAGTGTTCCCCAGCTGTGAGGAGAGGGCCACAGCTCCAGTGTGGACAGCAGAGGCACCTGGAATGGTACTGGATCCCGATTCTTTGGCGAAGCTGGTCATAGATACATTTCTGACATCAGCCTTTTCCAGCAACACATGAGTCCATTCTGACTTCTGAGGGCTGGATACCGGGTTATAGCAACCACCTTGTCTGGAGGCCATTGTTGGTGTTAGCGTAACACACTGTCCCTGTCCCTAGGGGGGAAACACATAAAATTGCCCGGGTTAGTATCAATCAAAGGAGACTCTGACAGGCTCCTTACATCTGAGGGCCACTGTTTTGCTCAGGTTCCTTTAGTTTCCCCCTCCCCCACCATTGCTCTTGTCACTCAAGGGCTCTCCCAGTCTCCCTTCACCCTCTGCTAAACCTCCTCTCTCTGAACCTCCACAGCCACCCATCTCTGCCTGCACATTCATGGTAGTTTGAACGAGGATAGCCCCCCATGGGCTCCTACGTTTGAATGCTTGGTTTCCAGTTGGCCAAACTGTCTGGGAGGATTAGAGGCGGCCTTGTTGGAGGAGATGGGCCACAAGGGAAGGCTTTCTCCCACGGTCCCCTCTGTGCTCTCTGCCCTCCTGTTTATGGTTCAAGATGTTAGCTTTGAACTGTTTCTGCTGCCATGCCTTCATTGTGCCATTTTAGGATCAAACTCTCTGGAGCCACAACCCCAATGGACTGCTGTATGTTATAAGGTACTATGGTCATGGTGTTTTGTCACAGCAAAGGAACAAATAAAACACCCAGTTTCCCAAGTTGCTTTTCTTCCTCTCAGTTCAGAAAACCCACTCGCACCCATGCTGCTTTTACTTGTCCCGATGCTCCTACTGAGCCTTTAGCCTTTTCTTTTGCATCTAAAGAACTTCTGCACACCACTCATGACATTGTCGAAAGCATCAATATCGGATGATTCCCCCTCACCCCATAGCCTTGGGCAGGAGCGTGCCTGTGGGACACGGGGTAGAAACGCTCTCGGGGAGCCTCGGATGATGTCCCTCTATATAAAGGTAAGAGTGTGATTTAGTGCATGTCTATGTGACCTCTGACAAGAAGGCATTCTATACCACCCACTGAGCTTCTCCCTCTGTGTGTTATACAGATTATCTCACAGAATATTCCAGAACGTCTGTAGTTGGAATGCAGGCATGGAGGAGTTAAATGACATATCCAAACCACCACTAAACCACCACATAACTCATTCTCTCTCTCTCTCTCTCTCTCTCTCTCTCTCTCTCTCTCTCTCTCTCTCTCTCTCTCTCTCTCTCCCTCTCTCTCTCTCTCTCTCTTTCTCTCTCACCTTCTCTCTCTCTTTCTGTGTGTGCATGTGCTTGTGCATGTGTGTGTGGAGGCCAGAAATGTACACTGGGCATCTTGTTCCTCTCTCACCCCTCACCTTGTTTTTTGAGACAGGGTCTCTCACCGAACCTAAAAGTCACTAGACTTGTTGGTCCACCTGCTCTAACAATCCCCCTGCCTCCGTCTCCACAGCTCTGGAGCTCCTGGCTTATGCCCACCATTTTAAAAATAAGTATTATTTTTATGTATATGGGTTTTTGACTGCATGTATGTGTACCATGTGTGTGTGTGTTACTGATGGAGGATGAGTACCGTGTGTGTGTGTCTGTGTGTGTCTGTGTGTGTGTGTGTGTTACTGATGGAGGATGAGGACAGCATCAGTAAGAGAGCATCAGATGCCCTGAAGTTACAGACAGTTGTGAGTAGCCATGTGGATGCTAGGAACTTGGGACCTCAGGAAGGGCAGCAATGCTCTTAGGTAACTCTCCAGCTCCACTTTTAAAAAAGATGTGAGCACAGGAGATCCAAACCCACATCCTCATGCTTGCAAGACAAACACTCGATGTCAGAGCCATCCCCCTAACCTGCTGCCCTAGTCCCGAATGCCAGGGCAAGAAGGGATCTCACTTTCAATGCAGTAGACTTGGTTATGAGGCTCCTGCACCTAACTGTTGGTCAGTGCCACAGTTTGAGTTTGGAACGCTCCTGGATGTTGAGGGCTTGGTCCTTAGCCTATGCTGCTGTTAGAAGTAATAAAACCCTTGGGAGGTAAGGTCAGGAAGAAGGGAGTTGAGCCATCAGGGCTATCAGCGCCATCAGCTTGAGGGGATGCTGGGACTCCAACCCTCTCTTCTCCTTTCTCTTTGCTCCCTAGCCTCTACAGATCAAGTATCTTCTTCCATCCTGTGTTCTCTCTGAGATGTACCACTCCGCAACACAGTTTCCAAAGTAACCAGCTAACCAATTGTGAACTCTGAAACATTGAACCTTCCCTCTCCAGGCGTTGTTCACCTTGGGCATGTTATCACAGCGGCAGAAAGAAGACAATCCATCTAACTAATAAAAATTTCCCAGAAGATGCTCACTGGCCTCACCTCCCCTCCCCCCATCCCCGCTCTGTTGGTACTCACACTTGCCTGGCTGGTGGACGAGTGAAGCACAGCCTTCTGGGAACTGGTGGGTATGTCATAGAATGGCTGCTTCTCCGGCCTCTAGGAAAAGACCACAAAGAAGGACAACTTTAATTTCTCTTTCCAAGGGGTTTCCCACACAAAGTCCACGAGTTCAGTCTTTTCTCCAATGAAAGACACAAATCCCTGAACACTTTGGGGCTGGTAGTTATGGTTCTGTGTGTGTGTGTGTATGTGTTATGATAGGTATGTTCAACCACCAACTTTTACTCCTCTCTTTTAGCTAAAATTAACTCTGTCTCTATCTTTTTTCTGTCTGTCTGTCTGTCTGTCTGTCTGTCTGTCTATCTGTCTGTCGTCTTGCTGTCGCTGTTTTCTCTCTCTCTCTCTCTCTTTCTCTCTCTCTGTCTCTCTGTATGTGTGTGTTTGTGCGTGTGCATGTGTGTAAGCATGGGCATACATGTACCAGGACCCATGTGTGGAGCTGGGACTATAACCTTCTGCCTTGTCTGAGGCAGGGTCTCTTGTTCTCTGTGTGTTGGCTCGGCTACCTGGCCCTACTGCAGATTCTCCTGTCTCCACCTCCCATTTCACCATAGAAACACTGGGCTGAGAGCCTCAGAACTGTGTCTGGCTTCGTGTGGGCTCTGGGGATCTGTACTCAGGTGCACCTGTAACACAAGCACTTCATCTATGGTGTGGCTTCCCCAACCCTAAGGTTTTTAATCACCATATAATGATTGTACATGATAATGACTTTCATTATGATGATAGACTTGGTGCTTTAAAAGGCACCATCTTGGCTGAAGGTATGGGTGGAGGGGTACAAGCATGGATACATCCATCCCAGCCGTCACCCGAGTAAACACTGGCAGCTTATATTGAGGGAGTCAGCCTTCAGAATGAAGGAAGCTGCGAAGGCAAAGGACATGGAGAACCCAGAGACTGGGCACCAAGCCTCAGGCTCGGGCAGGGCTGCAGAGTGAAGCTCACCTCAAGAGTGGAGGAGATTTGCCTCTTAGCAGGCACGTCATACACCTGGGAAGGAAGCGTTGGCAAGGAGGCCCTCGTCGGTCTGGGAAGCACAAAGAGGGCCTTGGAGAGAAAAAGAACAGAGTCAAGACACCCAAGATCACGATCAAAGTCCCCTTCTGGACCACAAAGATGGCCACTGAGCTTTTGTCTGCACAGCAGGTGGGTCCATCCTGCAGCTGTCAGGCTGAGGGTGTTTTGAATGCAGCCCAGCACACAATCTTACACATATGTGAAGCATAAGAGGTTTTTTTTTTTTGAAAGTTTAAAAAGCTCGATTGTACAGTTCTCAAACATGAAGTTTATAAATGACAACATCATGTTACAATGTCAAAAGTTGGAAGTCCCCGCTGAAGTCTAGGAAACAGTGCTTATAGGTAGAGCTCGTAGGGATGCCTATGCCTTCCTTATAAGGTGGGCCGCTGTGCCTTCAACACATTCATCCAGGAAGTGGCTTACAATATGGATACTTGGTGTGCATGCCTGGTGGATCTGGTGCATAGGAGGCCTCGGGAGCCTTCAGTAGAGACAAACTTGTCTCAGGGTTGGAGGCCAGCGTCAAACAATCCAGGAAGCCAAGAATGACCTTAAGTCCCTTTCTTTTTGTCTCCATATCCCGAGGGATAGGATTACAGGTGTGTACCACACTACACCCAGCTTTCCGTGATGCTGGGGATCAAACCCAGGGCTTAGCCAGGGCTTCATGAATGCTAGACAGGTGCTCTGCCAACTGAGCTATACTTCCAGCCCTGTTGTTGTGTTGTTGTGTGGTTTTGTTTTAATAGGCTGAAGAATACTTGATGCCAGGACTTCAGTACAAAGGAAAAAGGAAATAGGACTTGCCATATCAAGACCAGAGGCTGAGGAGTGAGGCAAGAGAGTCAGAAGTCAAGTTACTGAGAGCCCAGAGGGGGATGAACCACCTGGCCAGGGCATGCCTAAGGAAGCAGGCACTGTGTATGGCGCTTTCTAAGTTGGATCTCTGAGGTGGGGGTTCAGGATTTTAACATGGAGAGAGGGTAGTGGATACAAGCCAGGTGGAGGAGCAGCTTCTGAAGACCAGGTCGTCAGGGCCCCTTTATTCGTCACTATCCCTAGGACCCAGCCTTGGGATGATTTGGTAAATGAAGGCACACAGCCTGGGACAGTGTCCTCTATAAAAACTCTCCTGGCGGCCCCTCAGCTTCAGTCACAGGCGTGGATAAAGCTGCTGTGAAGTTTTATGTATGTGTCTCCCCAAGTACACACTGCAGCTGTCCAGGGTCAAACCAGCCCACTTTCTCTATACGGAGACTGCTTTCTTATTCACAAGGGGCGTGGTTCACAGGAGCTGGACTTTCTAAAGTATTGTTCTAAAAAGGAAACACCCACTCTTACCTTGAAACCCGAGTCACCCACATGGGGGAGTATACTTCTCATAAGCTTGGAAAGAAGGTCTAGCCTCACATTCCACCTGTCTCTGCTTTGTGGTTTCCAGGGATAGACCGTACACCCTAAACTCCAGCTAGCCAACACAGATTCCGATGTGCTTCGCCTAAATCCTACCTCCCCTCAAGTAACAGGTTTGCAACTGCTTGTGAGATGTTTCCAGAGCCCTGGGTTCAGCAATCTTCTGAACCCTGGCTGCAGAGATGATTCAGTCAGTAAAGTACTTGCTTTGCAAACACCCGGGTTCAATCCCCAGAACCCATATAAAAATATTTGGGTTTGCCAGGCGATGGTGGCAGACACTTTTAATCCCAGCACTTGGGAGGCAGAGGCAGGAAGACCTCTGTAAGTTTGAGGCCAGCCTGGTCTACAGAGTGAGTTCACAAAGAGCCAGGGCTATATAGAGAAACCCTGTCTCAAACAAACAAACATTGGTGGGTATGATTGCATCCACTTGTAACCCTAGCAACTGAGAAGGTGGGGGTCTCCGGGCATCCAGGGCAAGTTCCAAGCGAGAAAGCTCATCTCAAAGAACAAGGTAGGGCTGGAGAGAAGGCTCACTCCTTGGGTAAAGGTGCTCACCACCAAGCCTGATGATTTGAGTTCAATTCCAGGACTCGTGCAGTGGAAGGCGAGAACTGATTCTAGTAAACCAAACTCCGACCTTCACATACTGCTGTGGCAAGGGAGTGCCTCAAATAAATGCAAGGGGGGTGTTTTCTGTTTGCTTTTGAGACAGAATTCACTTATGGAGTCCAGCTGGCCTGGAACTTGCTCTGTAGATCAGGCTGGCCTCAAGCCCACAGAGATCCATCTGCATCTGCCTCTTTAGTGCTGGGATTAATGACGCGTCCCACCATGCTATGCTTAAATGTTGCCTTAAAATAGCAAAGACCAAACAAGGTAGACTACTTGATGTTGACCTCTGACTGCTATGTGTCTATGCACACATTCTCATCTATGCAGACACATATGTGTACACACCCATAAACACACTAACACACTTGTGTGCGCACACACACACACACACACACATCTATATATTAGAAAAATCAAACCTGGCTCTGTCCCTGGTGGTTCTAGGCTGATTGGCCCAGGACCAAACTTATCAATGATTGCATGCTGAATTAAATCCACTCCCATCTTTCCCCGTCCCTCCCTCCAGAGATCTTTCCCAACTTCTTCCTTGTTCATCACCTCAGGATTTCAGGTCCATTTTATGAAAATGGATGACTTTGTGTGTCACATGTGACTGTGGGAACATCTACAGTCCACCCGGGGACTTTCCTGTGTGTGCCACTTCAAAAATGTCCCACGTTTCTTGGGAAAATGTTGAGTTCCAGACAGCAATTAAGGAACAGGCCTGAGTGCTGTGGTTTCCAGAGGCAGAAGGAAGCCATTCCAAGCCAGTGTCAGCAAGCAATCTATCCCCTACACTTGAAATACCAAAGTGTCCCTTCTCAGAATGGAAATGTGTTCTGTGTGTGGTTTCGTGTGTGTATGTGGTTTCCACATTAAATAAAGGAAGTCAGGATGGAAAGTAAAAGAAAACCCAGAAGAGTGGTTTTCCTGGGGGGAGCTACAGGAGGAAGGCACAGGGCTTCTGGAAGCCGGTTTTGTTTTGTTCTTCTGGATACTAGTAGCTGAGCTATGCCTCCAGGGTCTAGAGGTGATAAATTGACAAAAACTCCATAGAAAGAATGACTTCAGGGCCAGCGAGATGGCTCAGTGGGTAAAGGTGCTTGCTGCCAGGTTTGATGACCTGAGTTCAGTTCCAAAGACTCATTGGGTAAAGCAAGAGAACAAACTCCTACAAGTTGTCCTCTGACCTCCATAAACATAAAATGTAATTAAAAAAAAAAAGAGGAAAAAGTTTTCCAGATATCCAAAGATACACTTTTTTTTTTTTTAAGAGTAGCTTTCAGTCAGGGTCACATTAAAAAGGCACAGAGAACAGAGATCCTGAGGATAAAGGTCTGCCTTCAGAGTAAGGCGGACAGATGGACACAGACTGACTTGAAGGCCTTAGTTCCCACCCAGGCTCACATTGGGCTCACCAGGGATGGGCAGTTTGACCTCTCAGGAATCAATATCGTCTTGTGTAGAAAGGAGGGCTATTCTAATCCAAAGGCCCCCAGAGGGATCTCCTGGATGGACACTCCGGATTCTGACACAGAGATGAAACTCTCAGGACATCTTGAGGAAAGTGGTATATTCCAGCCATCTTGGTTTTTCATGCTGGGCCACTCTGAACCTCGGGAGCCTGGCACTGGTATCAAAGGAGCCCCTGAAGTGACCTTCCCCAGCTACAGCCTGAGCCTGCAAACTGCAGGGGAGACAGCTCAAAGGGCTTGGCTTGGACTCGCCTAACTCTTCCTGGTTGGAACTCCTGACTGAAACACATTTTCTGGGCAGCCTCAAACTCAGAGATAAACAGCAGATGTCTGAGCAGGGAAGGCATCCATGCTTGACTTCATGCACATCAGAACACTCACAACCAATTGCTGACTATTCCTCTGGTGTGTCTGGCTCTTGTCTATTTGGGGTAGAGGAAAGTATTTTGAATCTCCTAAAGGCAGAGCTAGGGGTTGACCTTAGATGTTGTCAGTCCAATACTCCCCAACACATGAAGAAGGGACAGAGGATGCTGGGGAGTTTGTAATGCCCTGCATTGACAGCAGCTGCCTCTGAAGTCAAGGGCTCCAGGACACCAATCTTTTAAATGAAAGCAGGAAGTGGGGGGGGGAGGAGAAGGAGGAGG